AAATTAATGTAAATGGTCCACCCCTACTTTCAATGTCTTAATACGATGGGTATAAGTGAGAGCGGATGGCTGGGTGCTGTCATTGTTTTAATCGGCTGGCATTGAACCGAAGTCAAAGTATACCTACCGGATACTTATCTTCATGTGAATGTTTAAAAATCTACTTTCTCCCAAAATAAACTGTTTCATGAGTACAAGATTCAGATGACAACAAATCTTGACAAAAAAAATGCGTATCAACTAATCAATCATGTAGATTGTGAAGGGTGCGAGTGTGAGAGCAAGTTAAGAGCGATCGAAATCCACACTTACATTCGTATATTTTTTCACTGTGCAAGAACCATATTCATAACTCTTTCGGGACGTTTTTTTTTCTATCAAAAATTGGTTCTTTTTATCAGTTTATTGAATCTAACTCAAAATGTTTTCATAAAAACTTATGGTATTCAAAGAAACAATTTTTCCCGTCTGTTACGCAAAAGATCAATTTACAAGTAGAGCATTTGATGCTTGATCGAACCTGCACTTCTTTTGTGCCACAGTAAGCACGTCTCAGGTGTGAGTGTGTATTATTTACACAGACACACCTCTACCTACCCCACACCCACACCATCAAGAAAAGATACGTATAAAATGGCAGTTGGAGCACTCCATGATCTCTATGCATAAGAAGTTTTAATAGTTAGGTGTAAATGAAATATTTTTCCTGCCGGAAAACTAGGCGGTACAATCCTTATACCACCGTCCTGAAAGAGTTAACTGACCCTCAATAATCTAACAAATCGGTGGATTTTTACCGGTCGAAAAAGTATTTTGAACCAGTTGGACCAGATTGATTTGAAAATTGTGAAGCAGTTAGAACTCTGGTTGATAATATTTCTCTTGTAATCAATATCACTGTTAATTGTAGATTCATTTTGATATGCTAGACTTTAAAAAAAAAGATCATGTTACAGATGGATATGAATTCATTTTCTTTCGAAAAAAACGAAGTATAACAAAAATAAATGAAAATGAATAATTTAAAAAAACTAGTTATCTTTAAGACACATCTATGTTATAGGAAAACTAAAAAATTATATCCAAAGACGAAATCGTGTTAGTTGAACGTCAATTCGACTATTTGGAAAGCGAGTTTGAGCCATTAAACGATAAGGTTCTACTTTTTCACGAGGAATTATGCCACAAATATCAACAAAGATAAATTCTTTCAATTGATCAAATAATTGAGAAAGGTCTTGTTCAAAAACCGTTACATGATCATCTAAATAAGAATAATATTAGAAAATTCGTCTTTCTTTCTGTAGATATATTTGAATAATATACTAATAGATTCAACTGTTGATAAAGATCGCTTCCATCGTGTTATAAAAGGTCCATAATACCGTCCATATTTATGGTTTGGTCGAACTTAAAGAAATAATAAAAAGTAGACTAAGTATTCGAGATAATTATGAGAAATTCAAAAATTTTCTCTTTTTCTTTCATTAAATAAAAATGACTGGTTAGAAAAGATTCTGTTTACCTTTATTACAAGATTGTCGAAAATGTATTTTTAACATATTTTCTTAAATGAAATAGAACTCCTCGACTATATTTTCATAGGTTTTCATCTAACATTTCAATTATTTTTCTAATGACTTAAAACTAGAGATCGACAAGTTCAGTTCTAGATCGGATCTAAAGAACTGTTGAGAACGATCTTTGATAAGAATTGATCGACTTAATTCAATTATGATCTAGAATTTCTTGCAACTTACAACATACTGATATCTTCAAATCCTTATGGCTACGATAGAGAAGCTATCTAGAATTTCTCACCATTTATATAGAGAACATGCTCAGAAGCCCTTAGGGCTTCTAATGGGTATCGAGTAGCCCGAGGTAGTTTCAGAGGAGTCCCGGGGATCCTGCCCTCATACTTAGGGTATACCGAAGAGTTTCAGATATCAGCATGTTTTTGGTTGCGAGAGATTATTGATCGTTAGTAAATTCTGTTGATCATTTGTTAGAACTAAACTGTTTCAAGAGTTTTTTTGCTCGTTTGAGCTAAAATCATGAGCTAGAGCTGATTGATCCCTAATTGAAATAACTGAAGAATGACATAGTTTTCTAAGTCATTACATTTTACTTTTGATGCATTAATTCTATACCATTGTGGAAGTGACTTATTTTGTTCAATAAAAATGATGGATAGATGTGTGTCTAGCTGAGAATAAATGAGACTGAGGGTGAGCGTGATGCTTACTTTTGTCTTCCTTCCACATACCATAGCCAATCTTGAAATCTTTCTTTTGACTTCCTCGTACCTTCTTTTACAAAGCAACTGAAAATGACTGAACTCGGGGTCAAGTCTCCGAACATGCGGGTTCAGCGTATGCCTAGATTTATCTTTATTGGAGGCACATATTTTATATATAATTATGATAAATATGAGAAGAATAAGTGACTTTTTCTATTTAACTTCACTATCAGCTGCACCAATAAGATTTTTCATCAGATACTTCTTAACTTAAAATATGTAGGTAAAGTCTAATTGAAAGGAAAAAAGTTTGTTTTAATAAATCGAAAAACATCTTATCATATTTTCAATTCTATATTATCATAGAAAAAAATCTTAGTTAACTAATCGGATTCGAATAAATCATATTGTGACATTAGATCAAACAAATTCTTTTTCATTAATATTTTTCAGTGAATATGTTTCATTTAATAGGAAACTTACGAGATGTCCAAGGAAAATCATCTGGTCTCCATAGTTGTAATGTGTGTAAATGTGGCATATAAGTACTGAGAATAGATACAAGATTTTTACCAATATGAATCGATTCATTTCTACCAATATTACAACTTGGAATACCAAATTCAGCATATTGAATAGTAGTTAATGCGTTTTTTCGTAATTCATCAGCGGCCTAAAAATTAATGTATTCTTTTTATATTCATTTGTTTTTTAAATAAACATCTACATAATAAAAAACTGAAATAAATCAACATAGAATTTAACGAAACCAAATTTAAATTCTCTTATCAATATGTCTGATATATTTCAAAAAATAACTTGAAATAAAATGAATACTTACATAATGAATAACGTATAATAACCATTCAAATTTTTTAACAAAAAGATGTTTGAGTTGAACAGGCATTGAAAGAAGATGAGCAAATATTTTCGCACGTACTTTATCTCGATCTGTTAACGTACTACAAGAAGCTAGGAAAAAAAATCTCGTTTAGATATTATTTATGTTAAAAACAATATCATTTCAAATAATACAAACAAGGATTATGAATTTTATAAGGAAAAAAGAAGATTCAAGTTTATTTGTATTTCATTCATACTTAGAGTTGGTCACTCTTCTATAGATCGTCATTAGGATACTTTAACAATTTCATATATTTTCTATCCTAAAACGATTATTATATCAAGTCAATAGGCGATGTCATCGTGAGAAAATCCAATTACGTTTTACAACAAGAAAATTGTCTTCATCATTCGATTGTGTTGGCAGATCGGGATCCAAAAATTTTCTGTTGATCGGATCTGAATTCGAGAATTTTAGATCTCGTAGACTTTAGTTAGAAGTAAAATCTTGACTATTATGAGATCATCGTCAAGGTTGCATTAGAGACATGTCGAGTGTGCTAATCAGTGACATAAATAAGCGAAAAAGAAAGAAAGAAATTCCTATTTGCGAAACTAGTATCAAATTCAAATATTAAAACAATTTTCTTGAAACTATTAAGAGTAAGGTTAAGATCTGATTATGGATCCAATTTCGAAAAATTTTAATTAAGCCGATCTGAAACGAGATCCAAGTTTTCTGGATCTATTCTTCACGCTCTTGAAGTATCTCTTTCAATTTGGGAGATGAAAATAAAATTTAAGATGTCTGTCTTTGCATATTTCCTATAATATCTTACAATGAATAACTTCTACAATCAGAAACATTGAAAATCTTCAGTAATTAACAAAGGTCAATACCTGTTGCTAAATTGGCTTGTTTATAATGTAAAATGTTGAATTATTTTTTAGATTTTAATGTTACAATGGATTTTATTAACAACTATTTAACATTAGTAATATACTTAAACTATTTATTTAGCCATTGTCTAAATAATATCTGAATTAACCGATAATAAAAATAAAAATATATAAGAGAAAGTATTTCGAGATTTGATTTAATCATTGAAATGATTCGGATGAAATCATTATAGTTTTAAAAAGATATTAACTTATATTTTAGTAAGGAAATCATTGATGTATATTATAACATGAATTAATTATCTTTTTTATTTTCATTTCTGATATGTTTAGATTATAAAGTTAGAATGATTGAAAAATATACAATCCAGTCAACTCGAATGATCATAAGCTGGAAGAAAAGATTTGTATTATAATTTATCAATTTTTGTCAAAGACAATTTATACATACGAATCATACGACCACAACAATTTCCAAATCTGAGTGTTGTGACATTTCGAAGCTGAATAGAATTTAGATTTTTCTCACCAACTTTGAATAGTGTTGTCATCGTGTCTAGTTCGTTGATATAATGTTCTAGAAAAAGAATCTTATTGAGTTTTAATTAATATCATTGAACTTTTTTCTATTATATTTTATAAAAAATTCAATAAGAATTGAATTAGAAAAAATTCTATTCAATCTTTATGTAATTAGTTTTATTCTTCAACGTCTATACTTCGCTCTAATATTCATTAAACTTCATCACTTGTTTGACTTTTTCTTGACAAAAACTAATTGAGAAAAATAATAACCTGTATGAATTGCGATAGAAGAAACATTAGGACATTGTTTATCCAATCGATCGAGAAATAAATAAAGAGATGGATCAAAAACAAACCAAATACGTCGAGTATTTGACCAGTCATACCTATATGGTTGAGTACTTAATAACAACAGAAGAAAATAATTAGATGAAAAAACTTTCCTAAATTAAATGTCTTACAATAAACTATCAGAGAGTTGTGCTTTATTGAAATTAGAAGAAAAAATACGTTGATATGACTCATTTTTATCATATAAGCATTTAATATTTGTCCATTGATGTAATATAAAAAAAGGATGATTTTTAAAAGAATTAATTGTGTTTTCAATATCATCTAATGATAATTGATATGTTCTACCAATATAAAAATGAAAGGATTTTAAATTAATTATTTCATCAGGTAAACAATATTGACGAATAAAATTTCCATCAATAAAATATTTCCATATTAATTGATCTGGTCTCCATATTGTTGGACTTCTTAAATAAATTTTAAGCTTTCTAATATGATTAAGATTATTAAGAAGCCATTTTAAATAAACAAATTCAAAATCATTGTCAATAGAACTCTTCAATATAAAACATTTTAATTTTGGTACCTATTTTTTACAAACAATCAATTGTCATTTCATTAACAATCAACAAAATAAAAATGTCTTATTTCTTCGTTTTATTGTTTGATCATCACAGTCTTCGGTATTCTTCTCATATTTTACTTTTTCTTAATCAGTAAATAACTGGGAAGAAAAGCGAATCCTATTCGAATTAGCAAGATCCGAGGAACTAGGATTCATTTTTATTTAGCTCAATGAAGTATGCTATTAAAGAATGATCTCTATTATCTTTTTATCGTAAATTCATGAAAAGTGAAAACATCTATTTAAACAACTATTTCTTTCGTGCTTATACCGTTTATCGATTGTCTTTCCATATGAGTTAATTACGATGACTCAGAAGTATCAATGCTTTCTATAAAACTAGAAGTGTCGGCATAGCATTAGTATTATCATTAGCATTAATTAATACTAATTTTAATAGATTTCAATTGACTGGAGTATTAAACTAATATTAATTAGTATCAATGTTATTGCTAAAGCGACATCCCTCTATAAAATCATTTTCAATATTAACGAAATGGTTGTCTCTATTAGCATAAAGAATGAGCCGTTTTGTATTTTTGTGAATACTTTTCTCAATTGTGGACACTTTGACTTGAACATTTCCTAGAAGCTAGTCCGTAAAATTCTCTTTAAAATTCAATGAAAAAGAACTCTTAAAATGGATAACTAAAATTCACATCTGGTGAACAGTACTACACTAAAAAAAAGATCTACTTCTAAATTCATTGTTTTATTAAAATGTATTATTTTCTTTCCTGATGACTAATCGTAATTCAAGCTATTTTACAACAAGCATCCGAGATTTTCAGGAGAACTCTTTTTGACAGAGCAAAAAAAAATTCTACCAATAAGTTTGTCAAGTTTCAACTGTCAATCTTCTTGAAGAATAACTTCAAGACATTTCTTGTCAGAGAAGAACCTTTTCAACTATTTACTCTGGTATCAAACCTAGAAAGATATTCTTCTTCAATTTAGCAATACATCTAATTCAGAATTACCTGCATACTTGTTAGAACTACATCAAAACTCTGATGAGCCTTTTTCAAAGATCCTCAAACGCGATTAAGTGAATAGAAATAAAACAGTTGCTCGAAAACGTTCCACAGTGTGCTCAAGTGATAATAAAGTAATAATTTGAAAGTTGGTCTTTTTTTTCGAGTATAGCACTGCTAGTCGAATATGATTTTTCAGTCATCTTTTTCAAGAATTCTTTTCGTTGGATCTTGTAGAAAATTCTATGAGCTATTTTCTAAAAAAATATTCAAGTAAAACCTATAAAAATAAAGATCAATATTAACAAAATATTGAGGTCATCCTGTATGTGCGTCACCAGTTAAGATTACATAAACATAATTCTAGGTAGAAATGTACCGAGCCCAACCTCTCCATCTCGCTATTGACCTTGGTACTGATAAATTTCTCACTTCGTTACAGTTACTTTCGATGTTGTTCTTGAGGGTATTTGGGAGTGAGAAACATAAAGTTACCTAGATTTCCTATATTCACACGTGCTGCCTCACCCATCTATCTACGCCGTCAACATCAAGCATATTTTACATTGAATGTGATCATGTCTGAGACCAAGAGTCTCAGTTTACACTCACGCTCGATACATTCCTAATCCTAAGCTAGATATATTCAATTTTAACGAACAGAATATTTTTATTGGTCTTTGATTTAAACTTATACGAATTAAGTTTAAGATAGGTTAATATGATATTCTCTATTCTTTAAATGAAACCAGTTTTTGATATAAAAGCTAATCAAGTTTGGCTTCTTTTTTACGTTTTTTCCATATGTATTTTCTTGAAGATCGATGAACGAAACATTTCGTTTTTGAAAAATGGCATAAAGTAGTACAAATATTCTCTTTTACTCTATGATAGTCGGCTTCATCGCTGGTTTCCAGGGCTCCATCACTTTTTGATGTTTATGTGCAGGAAAAATTTTTGACATAAACAAAAATGAATGATTAGAATAATATTACATTCGTCTTACTTTATTAACCCAACTTTCATTTGATAGTATCGGTCTTTCAGAGTTTGAATCATAAAATTTGTTATCACGTTGTAAATTTGGAAAAACAGTCGATAATTGTTCTAGATTGGGCACATGGTCAATAAGATGTTCCAGAAAACATGTATATTCCAGTTGAATGTACAAACGACGTAAACTTACACAATACGATTGAAATCCATCAGAATTTGTTTTTAACGGAAGATTGGAAGAATACGATTTTAAACATTCATGAATAACATAACGTAATTTGGTCATGTCAAGATGAAGCGAAGTTAATTGACATTGACCAGAAAATATTTGCGATAAGAGTTGTGTAAACATACCATTGATAGTTGCTGTTAAATTATAACAAAAACACAATCAATTCATCTCACAATGGAAGATCACCAACTAGTAGTTAAGAAGATTGGCCATATTCGGATTAACTCAAAACTCTTATCATCAAACTAATAAATTTGAAATATAACGTGTCTAGAGCAAATTATTGTAATTTCAACGTATGTGAAATCCAGGTATAAAAATGAGTCAGAAAAAGTTTTCTCCAGTATTCTAAAGACAAAACAGTGTTGCTCAAGTTGATTAGGGGGCTTGGAAGAGTCCTCTTTTATATGGCTCGAATAACGCTATATTTTGCTCTTAGAATACTGGAGCAAACATTTCCTGATTCATTTTTATGCCTAGATTTTACATACGTTGAAATTTCAATAACTTATTCTAGGCACGTTATATTTTAAGTTTATTAGTTTGACGAAAAGAGTTTTCATTTGATCCGAATATGGTCAATCTTCTTAACTATCAGTTGGCGATCTTTCATTGTCAGTAAAATTTGAAAATAAATCAAGAGGAAAACTGGATAGTCTCTATTTGAAGTCAATTTAATCTAGTTTGATTTACTGACAAAGGTAGATCCATGTAGTTTTAGAATACTTTATATAGTGTCAAAGTACGCCGTATTCTTCCTGAAATAAATTTTTCTCTTTCTCTTAGAGAGAAGAGTCCAACAAAAATAAGCTGTCTGCTTGCTTACTTGTTCATTCACACTTCACTGATTGGTTGGAGAATACAACGTAAGAGAAAAATGAGTGACGAGGGCGCGAGAAAGAAAAAAAGAACCGATTATCTCACTATCTGACCAAAGGTAATCGAAGAAGGAAAATCGGAATTTGAAGTCGTTTTTAATTAATTAATTAATTATTAATATTTTCCGCAAAACTTCACCGAAAGTAATCGAGAATATCGAATCGAAAAATAAGGTCAGTTTTATTTATTTAATTACCTCGAAGATGTAGATATGAATATGTGAGAGATGAATAACACACCTACGAGAAAGAGTTAAGCGAGTCCACGCATGAACGTTATTTGTTGCTCTAAGTTTCAAAAAAAATCAATGAATTTGTATAAAATCCCACGCGAAATTTTCAATCTTTCTTCAGTGACAAACAGGACAGGACAAATAATAGATTGTGAAAATGCCTTGTCGTGCAGCCCTCTACCTGACTGATCATACCGCACAAGTAATTGGTGATTCGTTCATCATTTTTTGAATTCCTACGTCAGATAGATTCTTATTTCCAATAGATAAAATATGATTTTATTCGTAAAGGACGTGGTCAACGTGATTTATTGATTACCTATATCAAAAAAAGTGAATGAAGGAACTCGTGTATAATCAGCTCCGTCAAACATATCTTCATGAAATGTTAATGTAAGTTGATTTAAATGATATTGAATGAGTACAGATAATGTCTGAATTATTGGTTGAGTTAAAAAACATCGAGTAATATAAAGTGATTTAAGATTAGGAAAAGATATTTTCTGTTGATCATTGTTAGAAAAAATACATTGATAAATAAAATCAAAAGGAATCGATTTATTTCCATCAAAATGAATATATTTTATATTCGAAGAAATAGATGATGATGATGAATTAAATATTAATGGTAATAATATTGATGAAAATATTTTATAAGATAAACCTGATTTATTAAAAATAATTCCATTTTCATTATTTGAAAATATTAAATAAATAAGAGAATTAAATCGTTCATTTAACGGCCATAACGATATTAATATTTCATCCCACGATAAATAACAAAATATATTTAATAATATTTCATTTGGAAGTATTTCCAATTTACTTATCATTTCTTATCCTAAAACTAAAATTAAAAAAAATTTCTTTTTTTCTTTTTAATTTAAATTTATCAGAATAGAGATGATGAATAAAATCTTAGGTAAGTTAACCATCTTTCTCTCTGTATCAAAATTCATAATTTGAGTGTCAATATATAGATATTAATACAACGAATATTTTCCAGATCTATTTCATAACATCATTATTGTTCTCAATAGTTTCTAAGAGAAAATTGATAAGTATCTACCACGGACAAAATTAACATTACACCT